TTGGATTTTTTAAAGTTTGTTATCTTTTCATCCACAACGGTTTGGTCTCCTCCTTTTGTGGATTGAAACATGCGAGTTTTATTGAATAGCCATTTTTGGCTTCGCAAAAATAATATACATCGGATGTTACTCTTATTATATTTTTTCTAATGCACAACACATTGAATAAAACTATCCGTTTCTCCAATAGGTTGTCCTACGTGATGAATAAAAGACGTAATCTACCATTATTACGAAATTCACTCATCTTACGAACATTTTACAGTAGACAAACAATTTCACATATTTTTAATAAGTTTACTATTCGACAGAAAATTATTTGGACACATGAGTATTGAATTCAAAAGCAAGATATTAGAAAGACGCGATTATTGCATAGATAATAAATTTCTTCCGGGAAATATCATTCATCAGTAGTCTTTATACGTGAAAGACATTATTAAAGATATATAATTTATCCACGGCCAAAATGATTACCGATTTGTTTGATGATCAGAATGGTGTATGTTGTTTTTTATGGTGGTTGTGAGTTAACCAGTTTCAGTCTCAACCAATGAGGTAATCTGCCACGTCGGCGAACGCAGTGGCGACAGGGGCAGTCGTAATGGCTGCCAGCGATAGCCGTGTCAGGCGACAGCGGGTGATTTGAAGGTGAGTTAAGGAGCGGGGCCCAGATGCACCAACTGCCACAGCGCAGGCGGCATCGCCGAGCGCTCGCCCAGGCGGCCTGGGCGCGAGCGGAGATAACATCAGATTACAAGCCTCGATTAAAGGGAGGCATAACCTAGATAGGACGTGAGTGGCGGTGTATCTTGTGTCTAATGGGCGGGTATGTAAATGCGTGAATAACCAACGAGGCTCCTCCTACTCCATATATTCCAGATAACGCTAATGTCTTGTGGCAAGTGAATTACGTCTCAACTTCTGTTTCGATATGCATTCACATCTATCTTACACCACCTTTTCTTGATGACTGTTCTCTTTGCTTTGTAAGCCGTTCTCTATTGAAACGCATGTATCTGCCAGATGGATCCTTATTTCAACCAGGCTTATAAAGCAGAGTAAAATGTCTTTCCGTCATGTTCATTCTTTAGGATATGTTTTCTCCCGAGCACTGGTAATAAAAGAAACTGCCAGATTGAGTTTTGATTCACATTACTTCTCTTCTTCTATTTCCGATGAGTGGAAATATTCAGTGAAAACTAAAACATATGCGCTGGTGTAATCACGTAAGCAATGAATTTATAATATAACAATCGTATTAAACAGGTTCTAATGATGATTCCCATTGATTTTGATTTGTGTTCAATGCTGGTGTCATAAGAACTTTGATTTTGAATCAATGAACCTTGCACTTAACAGCTGCTTTATTATTATTATTATTATTATTATTATTATTATTATTATTATTATTATTATTATTATTATTATCAATATTATTGTTAGCGTAACGGCCATTTCTGACCACGCCATACGATTAACGTGTGTAACTATTACGACCAGTCTTTCAGCTGAATCCCTCGACAAGAGGGATCACAACACCTCAGAACATAATAGGCATAGATTTCTAAATGCTTATAGCTATTGTGCTTAAATATTAAAAAAATCTTTAGATTATTTTGGAGTCCGGCTTTGACCACCCATATTGGTATTTTCTGACTTCCAGAATGACGCTGACTTTTACCTTTGTTAGCAATAATGTTACTAGCAAATTAAGGAAATATATGAAATCAAAATAACACTTGATGTTGAAATTAAGTGTATTCCACTGCAGAAAATATCCATAATATCGATATTATATGTAATAATTTTACATACATTAGAAAAACAAATAAATTTATTTGTAATTTTCTGAAAGATAGAAAATGTACAATGCAGAAGAGAAAACTTTAAAGACAGTAAGAAAGAATATATTCGAGTACGAAGAGGAAGAATCTGAAGATGCTTGGAAAAGTATGAATCAATATCTTCAAATAATCAGTTACAGAGACCTTCTTGGAAGATCGAAGAAGACTGAAATAATGACATTAAATTACAGTCTTCATCTATACTTTTCCTCTTCTCTCTCTTTCGTCAGACAATGGTCTTTCTTTAACGCTATATGATTTGAATTACTTCCTTATGATTAGCGATGCCAAGTTGGAAAAGAAGAAAAAGTTGGAACACAACTTAATATTGAAATAAAGAACTGTCACGTTTATGAAAAGTAAATCGAGAATCGAAATACATTTTTATGCGTATCTTTAATACAATATCTATAATACAGTGCGCTAAAAAATTCTCTCCGTTCTGAGGTGAATCAGAACTTCCTATTAAAAATTACATTTATGTTGGTAGCAACCAGATAACTGGGAAACTAATGAAGGGAGCAACTTTTCCAGCATCTATTATGATTTGGTGCGTAATTTGTATTTTCAAGAAGCAGCTCGAGCTACCAACATAATTTCTGTTGCACGCACTCTCACCAGCAAGATGCCACTGCGAAGAGACTATCAGGGTGCGCTACATAAATTAATGTGATTATATAAGGATGTTGCTGCGTAATGAGATTTTACTCTCAACAGAGTGTTTGGCAAATTATTCCATAAAAATGTTTGAGTTTGCATTTTCAGTTGTAGCGCAAATGTTGAGGAAAGCTGTCCAAAAATAAAATACTATACGATATATTCCATAGAGCTAACATAGGTGATACCAAAACTCACTACCTACTTTTAGAATAATTGCAAACTATGTTATTTATTGAAGTCGTAGGCTTCCGCGGCCAGAGTCATATGCGTGATCTGGGCTGCATCTGGTATGCATACCAGCCCTGAGGAAGACCACGACAGGATGGTCGAAACGTCGGCAACACAGCCTTCGACGAGGCGTCACCCGGACAGCCCAGATTACGCATATGTTATTTATTATACTGGCAAGATTTAATGTTGCCACGGTTTGTAGAAGCAACCTCTTCCATTCTAATGCATGTGCCAATCGTGGGCAGTATCTGAAAATTTAGTGGTAAATGACGAGTGGGGTAATTCTTTTAAAATTTATTGCTTCTCGTTCGACAAATTTGTTTTTTGAGTGCCTAGAAGGTAAATTGTTAAACAGAACTTTTAGTACGTGCCACATTTCGTTCTCCTCCCGTGCCTTCGAAACAAAGAGACGCGCTTGATAAGTCGTCACTGACCACGACGGAGCCGAAAAACCGACGTGATCTGTTCGTAAAGTACTTCACGTTCTGTTATAAGACCTAGACTGAATTTAATTACAATCACATTCACTTCACGAGGATCGGTGAAGAAATAAGCTGCCACATAATCAGTTAATTTAAAATTGATGATGTTAAAATACTCAATTCATTTAACAAAATAATTCTCCTTGACATGAATAACCTCAAGTTATACGGAACTACAAGTTTAAATTTCTCCTTGAGATTGTCCTTTTAGGGAAACTAAGGCCACCAAATATTGTCTTGTCAGGGAGATAGCAAATTGTTGTTAATGATCAAAGGTTCCACAGAAAATGCTTGTGTTCTTCGAGGACACATCTTTGAGAACTTAGTAGAATATAATGCACAAAGAACGGTAATATCTCGTAGGTCGTTTTTTGTAAAGGAAGTGATTGTTCAGAGAATTCAACGTTGATATGACAGTTAATCAAATTCAAACGGCATGTTTATTTTCTTTACGATACATACTTTGCGAATGACGAATTATTCCGCAGCAGATCCTGGCGCAGTCATTACAGAATTTGATATATCTAAAGACGTAAGTATACAATTCAGATAGAAAGTTCATTTCATATCATGCCTATTGATAAATTGACTCGTTAAAAATGTCTACCTTTTAGTTCTAAGAGTTATTTATTATAATAAATGACAATGATGTTAATAAGTACAAAACGTGCGCAAATATAATGCGATCTATGGCCAAGGCTTCAAAAACCTGCACTCACCACTAGGAAGCTGGGATACCATGGGAACGAAAGAAAAACAAATTTTAAATGTATATCCAAATAACCACCTCTACGAGGGCAAACATCCGGGCTTTCATTGCAACTTAAAATTTAATTAAGACTACATCAATCTACGATCAACATTTTTTACGCTGCGGCGATGAACGAAAACGAGACACGATTCTACACCGTACCGTTCTTTTTATTTGCAACGAGGGGGCAGAGAAGAACAGCGAAAATTATAGTTCCTGTTGTCGACAAAAACAATCGAGCCCCCATCTTCTCTCATACAACTTGCGCATTGTTTTATTGTGGTTTTCCTCTCCACACGTCGCTTCCTTCCCACGAACTGCGCCAGGGACCACGACGAGGGGGCTCGATCAGGGGACCTGATGGCAGCGCGACCATCACTGCCTCGCCGAACGGGCCTCCAGGACAGCGGCTGGGAAAGTTCTATACCAGGGGTGTCCAACGTGCAAGGCCTCAGGGGCTACAACTAAAACCATTAATATGGTTAGCGCCCTATTATAATTACTTGGACGATCCACACCAGAATTGCCCGTAATGTTGATCTCAGAACTTTGCTGTTTCGGTTGCTCCAAAACGTGGGGGGGGGGCGGATAACAGAACAATGCATGATATCAGGCTGTTTCATGCATAACGCAGTGAAACACAGTGGGTTCTGAATTTACTAGAAAACAAATTCCTTAAATCTAAACTTCACCTATTATTACATTAAAGGGGCGCGTACGTTAGGCGCACAATGTTCATGTCCTAATTGGTTACGTGGGACTTTCACTTTTGAGTAGTAAACCTTTCGCGGACCGCCAGTTGAACAACCCTAATACATTCCATTCAAATCGACTTCAGAAAATTTCACTCCTTCCGTCTGCGAAACGCAAGGTAACGAAGTTATATGTCATATTTATTTATACCGTTTATCACTGAAGCAATGGCAATGACATAAAAAAGGAAATAATTTTCGTAATAAGGGACGCGATGTAGAATAATCTTCTCATCTATTGAACAATTGATATGCAGCAGAAAAATCTTTTAATCTGTTAAGCAACATTTTCATTATTCAAATAAGAAATTCCATTGAAGAACTGCAATTTCCATTGCATTGAAGAACTACAATAAAAATGAATAAAATATTCAAGCTTTGTCAGTTTTAAATGTCTCATTAGGTGGTGATTAGTGAAGGGAATGATTGGAGGAGAACGGAATCAGAATATGCTTCGTGACAGAAGAATGCCAATATACTTCTTTCTAGATTACAAACGAGAGTTGATAAAGTCGTCTTTTTGTACGGTGACAGTTTTGAAAACGTGTATTGTTTAAATGTTGGTCAGATTGTAATTTCAGTGACGTATCTGACAGTTTTTAAACTGAAGTTTGGCAATAATGAAATAGTCAATATATGCAACTTTGCTTGTGTTTCGGAGAAATATAGTTACAGGAACAGAAGATCGCGGTCAAGACATACAGGTTTAAGGGTTAGTTCTTAGAATTTCCCAGCATGTTACAGAGAATTGGGAAGGTTAGGAGACAATTGGAATAAAGGGAACATCTGGAAAATGTTGTAACTAAAAAGGTGTATATATTTCCATAATTTTCGAATAGTATTGTTTTCATTGTTTGTTTATTATGTGGCATGTGTAAGTATATTTCATCATTGAAAGGGCAGAGGCAAACAACAGTGCCTAAATCATAGTCATTTACATCATAAATTTCGTAAGATATCTCATTACAAAATGAAATTGGAATATTATCAATTGAGATCGTTATACCAATTTAACTAATTAAGCATTGTGAACAATAATTAACTTCCATAGACTTAAGCGATCGCGTGCATGTGCGATCCGGAGGCGGTTCTTTTGCCACCGACCAACTTCCTTGACTGCTCAGAGTATTTTAGTATCTTTTCATCGTGAGTGACGAAGGAATTTATTAAATAATATCAACTACACATTATATTGAGTAAGGAAAAAGTTAACAAAGGAGATTATTTAAGTCTTGTAAAATGTAGTAAAAAGTACTTCTAAAATGTAGATTTAGATTATTTTTAGTCAAAAAACAGTAGGAACTGTATGTGACGTATGGGGAAAGGCATGTGCGCACGTTTTTCTGAGTTCCAGAATCCCTTCCCATCATTTTAACTATAAATAGATGAAGAACGGGTAAAAGTTGAACATAAATAAAAATAAAAATTAAAAAAGGGCGAGATTAGCAACATTTAAAAAAACTAGACATTATCGTTTCCGAGATGAAAGCGTAAAATACAATAGAATAGATTGATTGATTGATTCTTAGTGCCTGCGGGCGCACCAACTACCAAGGTCATTAGTCCAGTAAGTGTAGTGAATAATTTTGCTGGCGCTGGTCTTCTTCCGCTGGATGGCGAGATTCGGCGCCGAGCTATCGTCCGTTAGCGGGTTTTTCCTACTCAGGTATCGCCCACCAACAGGGAACTACTCCAGGCGGAACAAGCTCTAAGCTTCCGACTGGTCTCCCGGCATGTGTGTAGTGCATTTTAGTGTGTGTGTGTGTGTGTGTGTGTGTGTGTGTGTGTGTGTGTGTGTGTGTAAGGGATGAGGATAGGAAAAGGAAGAGGTAGGAAAGAGAAGCGCGGTACGTGGCCCGTTCGTTGAGGTACTGTTCCGACATTAGCCTGCTGTTGATCGGAGAAAATACGGAAACCTACCGATCAGAGAAGCCGGCCGCTAGCATTCCCCTCCAGAAAGCGACTGAATTCGACCAAGCTGCAAAGCTAGTGTCGAAAATCCAGCCACCGTCGGGACTCGAGCCTAGGACCTCCCGATCAGAGGGACTGCAGTGACATCAGTTGATGCCCTGAGCCATTTCTCCCGGTGAGCAGAACAGAAATAACTGGACCGCTCGTTACATTGCCAACCTCCACCGCTCCACAGGCTACTCGAGGCCGCGAGCAGACGCCGAGCGAAGAGCCTGGGAGCTGCGGCGGTCCGTAATGCCCGTGCGGGATAATGAAGGCCTGGGCAGGGCAGGCTCTTCTGCGGGCGGGAGTCGGTCAATTTTAAAGAAACCTAATCAAAAGAATTTTGTAGACATTCATGCACTTGATACGTATAATACGCGCCGGTTTCAAATTAAGCGGAGGCGGGGCGCAGCGCAGCGGGGCGCGCTCTAAACAATGGGGTTCACCGGACTGAGCGGAGCGGCCCAGCAGTGGGCGGCAGCGGGCCACAAACTGCGCGTGCTCTACGCTTTATTTAAATTATTTATGTGGACTAAATAAACAAATATTTGAGTTCTTTTTAAATAGAACAACCAAGAGCAATTTGTTTAAATTAATCCAAGACGACTTGGACGAAATAAAAATTTTTAATACATTAATTGAAAATAAAGAACAATTCAGAAAAGTAATTCAAGATATGCAGCTCAGATTCCCAGAAAAAACTAAATCCAAAAGAGGTGCAAAAGAGTTAGAAGAGAGGAAAAAGGCAACATCTGAAAGAATGAAGAAATATTGGAAAAAACGTAAAGAAAGAAAAAGGGTGAACCGAATGAA